GCGGCGCTGCTGCTGCTCTGTCCAGCCCTGAGGCTGCAGGAGCCAGGCTGCCCCCCCTCTCCCCTCGTCCTTTCCCCAGGCGGCTGCACAGCAGCAGCTCCCGAGGCTGCAGAGTCCTGCGGTGCCTGGATGTGCTGAGGCTGCAGAACATAACTCCAAATGGCAAAGGGAAGACTTTTTATAGCTCGTCAGCTCCAGCGATGGGGCAAGGCTGTGTCTGAAAGCAAGATGTGCTGCCCACCCTCCCCCCCCCAGGTCAGACTCGGGACCTTCAGCTGTGAGGGGCTGCAGGGGCTCGGGCACTGCCAGCAGCACGCCGTGTCAAAGAAACCCACATAAGGAGGGATGCACAAAGCATTTCCACAGCTAAATGCAAATCCAAAGCACAATTCTGGATCTTGCTGCAGCTCCAGGCAGATGCTGGCAGGAGTTTAGCAATCCAAGGTGAGAGACTGTGTCCGGGGGGGAGAGCGCAGAAACCCTCTCTCCTGTACGAGCCTCACGTCCAAACGCTTGAGCCCTGGGATTCCTGAAGCACTTCAGGACAAAGGGAACGAGAAGTTGTGCCAGCCCTGCAGGAACATGCTGGACTTCCTTTATCTTCCATCCAACCTCAATAAAGTTCCTCATTAGAGGAAGCCGATGCTGGCTACTTTCCGCACGATAAGTCAGTTGAATTTAAAGGTCGTAGGGTGCCTAGTGAGAAAGTGTGTCTAATAAAAGGCACAGAAACAACTGCAGAGCCAGCAGATTAAATTCCCCTACCAAGAGGCTGAGCAGAGGGCTAACAGTCCTGGAAAGGTCACTCGGTACGAGATGCATTTCAAAGAAAGACAGGGACAAGGCAAGGCTGGGAAAAGCAGCTGGGAAAAGATGAATAAAAGAACACAGCATGTCCCCAGAAGCTGAGACATCAGAGAAGGGGAGGCCTGGGGTACACGGGGCACAGTGGGGTCCTGGCCCGGCTCCTGCAGACCCCAGGTAGAAGCGTGAGGAGCCTGTACCCTGTTCAACACTGCAGCCTCAACCCTCTTCAGCCCTACAGCCAAGCTCTAACGCTGGAACCGCTGCTGAGAAAAAGCAAGTGGGACACTGAGTGATGTTGTGACAGAACAGTGACCTGCAGGGACATTCTTGCTGTTTCTGGGACAGCACGGAGGGGTGCAGAGCCAGGAGGGAGCTGACAGTCCCTGTTCTGCACTCTCAGCAAGTCCAGCAGGCACCAACCCAAAGACAATGATGCACCGGAGCCACAGATCAAAGAGTGTGTCTTCCCTCTCCTCTCCAAGTTTATTATGATTTTAAACGTTCGTCAATTACACTGCTAGTCAGAGCCCCAGTGGTGCTAGGACCCGGAACGGGAGTGCACAGCGAGGCCTGCAGCAGCTCTGGCCTGCCAGCCCTGCCAGGGATCAGTGAACTGCCGGACACGCTGGCCTGAGCAAACACGAACAGAGCGAGCCAGCACCAGAGAGGCAAGTTTCAAAGGCACAGCACGAGGCACGAGACCTCTGTCCTCTCCTGGGATGTTGGAGGGCTCCTTGTACCCCTTCGTGGATCACACGTCCATCGCTGCCCCTCATGCTAGCGGGCAGTTTCCAGCACCCTCACAGGAGGGTCTGCAGGGAAAGGGAGCGTGGAACCTGCTTTCTCAGCTCCTATGAAGCCATGTAGAGGCAAAGACAGGGCTAAGGCACAGACGGGCTGAGGCAAGCCAGAGAGAAGGCAAGAAGCTGCTGTGGATCATTCATCTAAAAGCAACATGACCCAACCGCTTTGTCAGGTACGCTGCCAAGGGCCACACACCCTGCCAGCTGCTCAGAAAGCCTTTGGGGCAGTTGGTCCCTGCATTGCCAAAGCCAGCCAGAGGACAAACCGATAGGAGGGAGAATGGCTGTCCGGGGACACTCAGCGGGCATGGAATTAGCACAGGCAAATCTGTGACAACAGGGGAATTCCCCGGCTGCAGGGGCCACGTTTGATTCCAAAAGCAAAAAATCTAAATGAACAAGCTCTGAAGCCTCACTCTGGGGCTGGCCTCGCACACAAAGCATCGGCCATAGAATTTGGCAGGAGGAGCTGGCGGTGGCTGGGGAAGCAGCACATGGACAGGAGGCAAAGAATGCTAATTTCTGTGCTGGTGCTTCTTAGAAAGAAAGAGTGATTCTCAGCCCCTTTGAAATGCCCAAGGAGCTTCACTCGTCCTGGTGGAGCCTGTCAGGGAACTGTGGCCTCTCCACGAGACAGTTAAGCCAAAAGCAAGTGGGAAAGGGCTGGTATCATGCAAAGTCTCCCCGTGGGGCTAATGGCAAAGCTTGTCCTCGCAGGCTGTGCCTCCTGCACGGTCCGTATTGACCAAGATGACCCAGCAGAGTCCCTCTGAGAACTGAATCCATCACAGCGAGAGAAATTGAAAGGAGGAAGACGCTCAGCCCCGCTCCGGGCAGACCCTAGACAGCAGCGGAAGCTAAACAAGCCCTTCAAAGAGAGAGGGAGACCAGCAGGTACCTCTGTGCAGACGCCAGGCTCAAGCTGGCAGTGTCCAGGGCTGAGAAGGGGAACCTCTGCCCTTCTAGCACTCCGCAAAGGCTCCCAGGAAATCCGGACTCCTTACAAAGCTGTAGCATCAGAGCGAGTTGGTGCGGGCAGGAACTCTGCGCTCACCTCGGCGGGATCAGTGGTGCTGCAGGCAGAGCCCACCTACATGTGCTCAGGGTGGTTCTGGAGACACTTGATGACATCGGTGACAGGTTTGCCCTCGTAGCAGATCTGATACACCGCTGTGAAGAGGGGGAACCTGCGGGAAGACGAACAAAGTCACCTCTTGCCTTGTCACCACAGCTGGCAGGGTCAGAGCACCTCAACTTCTGTTGTCACATGTGGGACCACTGGGCAAGATCTGGTGGGACAGTGACACCGTCCCTCATCCATTCCTGCCCAGCTGGTTTGACGTGGGAAGTGCAGAGATTCACCTGAACAGCAGAGACACTGCGGGTGGGTTTCCCCTCCCACAGCTGCAGGAAAGGTCCCAGCCCCACCCCAGGAGAGCAGACAAGGGGGATGACAACACTCACTTCTCCACCGCGTTCTTGCTTTTCAGGATGTGGTGCAGCTCAGCAGATGTCTGGGGACCCTGCAGCTTCTGCCCGTTCAACATCTCCTTCTCCAGCTGCTCAATAGACTGAAACGACCCAACAGTGAGGGAGCTGGACCCTGCAGCCCCCTCTGCTGCCCCACGTCCCTTCCCTGGAGCCAGGCTGTGGCACTGGGTGAACGGGGGCAGGATGCCATGGTGCTAACTGGGTTCATGTCCTTGCCTGCTCCACAGGCTGACACAGATATCAGGGTTGCCTGCTCCCAGCTCTGCCTACCTTCCCAGTCTTGGCGAAAGCCTCGGCCACCTTGCGGTTGCGGCCACCGTAGCAGGTAGTGATGAGGTCGGCGACCCCGCAGCTCTCCAGGAAGGTGGAGGTGGTGACGGGGCCCTTACAGAAGAGCTTGGCAAAGCCAATCATCTCCATCAGTCCCAGACGGATCACGGCAGCCTTCGTGTTGTCTCCGTAACCCAGCCCATCACAGAAACCAGCTCCTACAGCCACAATATTCTGGAAAACAACAGCAGCGTGGAGGGATCTGTTCCCAACGGAGCTCAGGGCTTTGCTGTGTCCGTGAGCTGCCTGTGTGATCCCAAACACAGGCTCCTGCCTGTCCCTGCCTGTGCCAGTGATCGTCATCCCTCCGAGCAGCTGAACAGGGCACAGCCACTGTTCCCTCCAAAGTCTGGCCTTCGCCCCAACGGTCTCAGCAAACCACGGTGTGATATCCAACTAATTAATTGTTAATTCAGCTCGCAGCCTCCTCGCCAGAGCTCCCTGCAGAGCCCTAGAGAACCACAGGCTCTGCTAAACCAGACCTGCGAACCCCGCTGAGCGGCTCACCCACCTTGAGAGCCCCACAGATCTCTACGGTGTCGGCATCCTGCACCACCGTCACGCGGAAGTTCGGCGTCTGCATCAGCTCCTTCAGCATCTGCCCACTCTTCGTGTTCTTGCAGCCTGAGGAGACAAAGGAAAGGAGGAAGATGATGGAGGGAGACCCTAAGGTAGGACCATGCCACTCTCCTGCCCAGCGGTGTGTTCCTGCAGCGCAGCCCTTGCAGCTGGTGCAGCGGGAGGAACCACCAGCCCGACTGGTGGATGGGCAGACGCATGCAGTGCCGAGCACGCGTTACCTGGCAGATCAGCAAGCTTCAACCTGGGAATTCCCAGAAGATGAGGACAACTGCAAGTGCTGTGTCAAGCAGGACAGAAATGACAAGCCCAGAAGATTAGAGGCAGATTCAAAGGTTACAAATTGGGGTTTAGAGCCTGCTGTTCTCCCTGCACTGTCCTATGCGAGAGCGATTCTGTGTGCTCACAGCGACAGCACGCTCTGCGTGTCCCTCTCTGGTCTCTGTAGCGTCCTGCGCAGCATGTTTGCTTTTGTTTAAAATACAGACGCTTTGAATCTCATAACTTCTAACCCAGAGAACTGTTCTGTTGGTTTTGGCTGCTGTGCGTGATTCACAAACAGCGTGGAGGATGTCAGGAACAGGCACCAGATGGACTTTCAAGCAGCCCTGGCTGGCAATGACACGAGATCCAGGTGAGCATCCCTTGAAGCCCAAGGAAATGAAGGTAAGAACTCTATTTCGAAAGGACCTCTTGGTGTCCATCCCTTTCCTTTGTGCCAGGCAGACTGCCTGATGCTCAGTGTCCGTTGCTGGCAGGAACTTTTAGACACACAACTCCATTTTTAATGAAGCGAGCAATCACATTGTAAACCCTGTGCATGAGTTCATCCAGCTCCTGGGGAGTCTCGCTGCCTCCGCAGGGAAAAAGGGCCGGCTCACCCTCGGCAGCAGTCATCTAAGCCGCTCCATGCTCACCCCTTTGCCTCTTCCTGCTCATCAAAACCGAAGGCTGCTAATGAGGAGGGATGTTGGCTCCTTACCGATGGTTGTTTCACAGAATTTCTCGTCTGCCACTTCATTAGCAATGTTGGCCCCCATGAGGACGCTCATCTCTATTCCCAGTTTCTCATGGATAATGTCTGAGATCAGCCTCAGCCCATCTGGTCCTTCATCCACCCCCTGAGATACAACCCGGGACAGAGATGAGCACCTGCCCCCCCGAAACCTGGCCCCACCGGCCCCAATCCCCTCGTTCCCTGTGCTGCAATGCTCCCACTCTCATCCCAACAGCCCCCCA